TATATATATATATATATATATATATATATATATATAAATTGCTACTAGTAGTTCTGATATAGAGCCAAGTTTGGACACCACTGAGCTCACCTTCCCCATATAAAAATCCCTTTTGCAAGGCAGAGGAAGGCCTAGGGGCTGGAATAAAAAGCAGATCGAGTGTACTTCCCCATTCTCTTCAAACCTCAGAATCATTGTGGGCCCTCTGTTTCCTACCATCTTCTATGATGGAGCCAGAATGGGCCGGGACAGACAATGAGAAGAAGGAGGCACCATGGAATTTTGCCTGCAGCAGAGCTGGTCCAGCTCCAAACCCTCTTCCAGGTCTCTTTCTTCACCATCCCCTCAGGTGACAGAGAACCAGGCAGATAAGGAAAGGAACCTTAAGAGAGCCCCCAAATGAGCATGATTCCCCACCCAAGGCTTAGACTTCAAATTCTTTGCTTTATCACAAAATCTCACCTCCTGGCATTATAGGCTAATGGCATGTCCTTGAATCTGACCCAGCCCAGCATCACTTCCCTTACGGGGTGGGGGTTGGCAGGTGAGGTGGGAGAAGATCAACATTATGCTTTCCTTAAATGTCATCAGGGGGAAACTCAAATTTTCATGAACATGCTGATAAGATATGAATATATCTGTGTGTTCATACTGGCATTCTTTAGGCAATATTGCCAACAAACAGCCCATTAACACCTTACTATGAGGGGTTGACTGACAAGAACATTTTAATACCTTATTACACGTATGACAATGACATTTCCACAATATAACAAACTGCCTTTAACTGAAAGTATAAAGGAGAGAAGTTACCTGGGCAGTGTCCACTAAAGTAATTTTAATCAAATGCTTAGAACAGTGAGTGCTTGGTATTTTGGAAGCAATCACTATAGTACAGTGGCATTAAGGACTTTATTTCAATTAATGGTGGGCCCAGTGTTGTTGGGTAGGACTATACAAGGGAACATGTTTTTATAGACCATTTTCTACATGAGTTATTTGAACATAGATTGCCTGATGATTAAAAGAAGGCATGATTTATAGGCTAAATATATCTAAAGAAACATGTTGTTAATGTAAAATAGACATGCTCTTTCTCTCTCCCTCTCATTTCTGTTTAGGGTGAAGATTCCATGTTTCCTGTTGGGAAAAACATAGTATATACCTGCCTGGAAGGCTACTCTCTTATTGGAGACCCTGTTGCCAGATGTGGAGAAGATCTACAGTGGCTTGCTGGGGAAATGCATTGTCAGAGTGAGTGGCCTTGGCTGTAATATAAAATATAAGATGAGAGAAGAATGTGGAAGAGAATGAATCAAGATAATAATTGCTCACCATGCACCCCATGTCTCGACTCCCCCATATGATTCTAAGTCTCAGGAGTGCCTTGAAAAAGCCCCTGGCATTCTCTAGTTGATAGTGCTCCTGTAGGTTAGGCACATTTTATTGTGATTTTAAAGTTTCTGGTGTAAATTAGAATTAGCCCGGGAGCTCAGGTCTGGGTAAGATCATCAGGACATCCTCTAGGATTCAGCAATGGTGTCATGGCCGGATACTCAAAGCCCTCTTGAAACTGTGGCAGGGGTGTACCACAGTCTGTCTGCTTCCTGAAATGCTTTGGATCCTATTTGGTTTAGATAGAGGCATCTGAGTAAGACCTTCTGCATATTGTATCACTTTAACGTTACTCTTTGGCTTCCATCTCAGTGGTACTGCAATATAAATTTGTTAAACAGATGGCTAGAGAGTTGTAGGGACATATTTTTCTTATTATCCGTTGGCCTATGCTATGTGAGGAATGCCTGAGTGCACACATGTACATTTTTCTCTTGGAGATATATATGTATCTATATATCTATATCTATATCTATATCTATGTTTATCTATATTTATATCTATATATCTATATCTATCTATCCTATCTATCTGTATATATATATAGTGAAATTTCTGAGTCATAGGGTATACATATGTTTAGATTTGGTAGATGCTACGAGTCTTCCTTGTGGTTGTGTCAATTTATATCCCTACCAGAATCTGAGAAGTTAAGAACACTCTATATTGTCCCCCACACTTGACATCATCTGTTTTTAAAAATTTTTAGCTATACTGGTGAGTGTGTAGTGATATCTTATTTTTTAATATGTTTAACTTTTTTTTTTTAAAGATTTCATTGGGGAGTTGTGGGAGGGGAACAGTGCTGGGGAATCGGGGGAAGGGGAACAGACAAGTTGCTGTCCTTTTGTTCTTCAGTCTAGTTGTGGAGGACGTTGCTTCACTGGCCCAAGTTGGCACCATCATTGCACTCTTCCCAGGCGAGGCAGATCAGTCGCCGGCTTCTGGGCAGCTGCTCACGGCGGCTGCTGGCCGCTCACGCTGGCTGCTGGCGACACACGGAAGCCCATGGCAACCCACTGCAGTAGGGGACTGCAGCCTACGCCTTAGCTGGCGACTCACGGCAGCCCAGCTCCAGGTTGAGCTGTTGTTCAGCATCTTAGCTGTAGAGGGCAGTGTCACTGGCCCTCATATGTGGGATCCGAACCGGGGCCCTCTGGCATCCCAAGCCAGTTCTTACCCAACGCACCACTCAGCCGGCCCCTATATTTAACATTTTTAAATCTGCATTTTTCCCTGTGAATAGTGATGCTAAGCCTGTTTTCACATGTTTATTGGCCATTTGGATATCCTCTTTGGTGAAGTGGCTGTCCAATCTTTTGCCCACTTTTAAAAATTGGTTTGTCTGTCTTTTTCTTATTGATTTGTAGGCCCTCCTCTTTCTCTGTCTATTTCTCTCTCACTCTTTCTCTGGAGTTCTTGAGCAGTGATTACTGAAACAGGATACAAATATTCAATTGCTAGGAGTAATAAAGCCAAAAATTGGTTCTATGAAAAAATTAATAAGATACTTCTGCTTGTAGAACTTCTTTTCCTTTATTGTGAATCTGCTGGTGAAAAAACTGTCCTATTCTTCGTTCATCTTAAAATGTCTTTATTTCATCTCTTTTTCCCCGTGACTATACGTATATCTAATTATAGTTGACATACAATATTATTCAACATCAGCTTCAGAAATACAGTGCGGTGGTCAGGCCTCTACATTTTGAAGGATATTTTAATCGGGTAAGGAATTATAAGTTAGCAATTATTTTCTTTAAACTCTTTAAAGATTTTATTACATTGCCTCTGACTTCATCGTTTTCTAGTGAAAAGTCAATTCTTAGGCTTAATGTTTCTTCTTTGAAAATCGTATCTTTTCTGTTTGGCTGTTTTTAAGATTTTTTTTTGTGTGTGTCTTTGTTTCCAGAAGCAACTCTACTCTGATATGCTTTGGTGTGATTTTCTTTGTCTTTATTCTGGTTGATACTCAAAGCCCTTCTTGAAACTGCTTTAATGTTCTATGTTAATGGAAAATTCTTGATTGTTTTGTCCTCAAATATTGTTTCTGTCCCATTCTTACTTATTTCTTCACATGAGACACAAATGATGCATTTTAATATATATAATTATACTGGGGGTGCCCAAAATATGTATACACATGACTTATATTCATCTTCTTTTTTCTGTATATATTACTACAATTTTAATACAGTTTTTTCCTTTCTTAAAATGTGTATACATTTTTTGGGCACCCTCTGTATTTATATATATCATACATTATTTTCTTTGTTTTCTGTCATTTTCCCCTCTTTGTTTCATTCTAAATATTTCCAATTCATCTATCTTACAGTTTATTAATTCTATGTACAGTTGTATAATCTGCTTTTAGGAGCTCTATTGAGTTCTTAATTTAATTTTCAAATTCTAGATATTTTCTTGTCTACTTTTCTACACTTTCTTATTCTCTGTTGAAATTCCCCATCTTGTCATTTACTTTTCCCCCCCAATATAGATTAATTTTTATTGAATCCCAGACTTTATGTATGAAAAATTAAAGAAATAATTTGAGGCTCTGGGTGATGTTATCTCTCTCTAGAGAAGATTCAGTTTGTTCCTGGCGAGCAGTGAGGGTGCTTCATGCCAGTTTACCTTTATTGCTAGTGTGTGGCCATTAAGGGATTCCAACTGAAATTTTAGTATGGAATTCTTACTTAGGTCCCTCCTTTTCCCAGCCCTGTGAGACAGCTGAAAAGTCTACTCAGCTTTTTCACCTTTGAGCTGCAGCTTTCTCCTCAGTTAAGCAAACTTCAGTTATTATTTTTTTTTCTAATTTATAAATACCTCAAGGAGAAAGGCATTGTCAAATGTTGTAATCACCACTTTAGACTTCCTCTTTCTCTGGAATCTTGGACCTTCAAAACTTCCATTGGCTTGGTACCTCTCTGATGCTCTCTGGAATATTTTTTCCTTTACTTTTTATAGCCTTTCTCTTTGTCTTGGTGGGAGCATGACTGTAAAGGCAGCAATTGTGTCATGGCCAGATAATAATCTAACATGTAAATCTGATGTTAAATTATTAGCTTTTTGAGGGCAGAATATGTAACTTGTATCTTCTTGTATCCCCAGCAATACACAACAAAATGTAGGCACTCAATTGATGTTTTTTTGAATGAGTGAATAAATGGACTTTCTGATGGAAATGGTACAGAAATAGAGCAGCGTTTTGTAGAATATTGTCCAAAGTCCATTAGAGAGGTTGCCAAGATTATTTTAAAATCATGAATTCAGATGTGTTTTCCATAACTGCATGCTTCTCATTTTTCTCTGCTGTTTTTTCAAGAAGATTTGAGATAATGAATGTAACCAAGCAAGAAAGACTAGAGATAGGAAACCAAATAACATTTAACACTTTTATGGCTGCAAGATTAAAAGCAGTTCTCTAACCATTCAGACAGTAAAATATCTAATTGGATATATGCTAATGATATGCAAATAAGTACAGATCTTGGGAAAATTCTAGTGGGGTTTAACCAGACCAGATAGATAAGTGGCAGCTGTGAAAAGTCTGGTTTTGACAGTAGGCTAGATTTTAGGACTCTGTTTTTAAGGTTTACTCATTTTAAGTTGTCACATTGCTCTGAGGCTAGGCATGGGAGAGTGGAAACTGTTTTGGTCTTCACTCATTCATTGGTCAATTACATGCCAGACACTGTGGGCCATGTCTTTTAGGGCACCCTAAGAGTGAACTCACCTCTTCGACCTTGTCCTCTACTGTGAAAAAGCAGAGCAATTATATCAGCACCATTCAAGGCTGTCATTTTTTTTAAAAAAACATGGTTTAGGAAAGCAATGACCCTTGTATTCTGTTATTTTTTTATCTCTAGAAGTTGCCTGCGTTCTACCTGCACTGATGGATGGCATACAGAGTCATCCCCTCAAACCTTTCTACACAATTGGCGAGAAGGTGACCTTTTCCTGTTCAGGTGGCATGTCCTTAGATGGTCCTTCAACATTTCTCTGTGGATCCAGCCTTAAGTGGAGTCCTGAGATGAAGAATGTCCAGTGTGTGCAAAAAGGTGAGTGGATCCCAGGTCTGTCCAAAGACACCTGCACTTAGGTGAGTCTTGTGATGGTCCTTATGGCACAGAATCATTATAACTGTGAGCCCTTCCCTCCATCCTTGCCCCACTATGAGAAGGAGGTCAGTTCATAGACTGGGTAACAAACTTTTTACCTGGCACTGATAGACTCATGGAATGCAAAGAAAGGCAAAAATAGCCCTGGTGATTCTTAAATTTTAACCGAAACCCTTTATATCAAAGATCCGCTTTGTATTTTTTATGGTACAAAGAGAAAGGATTTTGAAAAACTAATTTCTGTTCTCCTCCTAATTTTTTAAATGTGCTTTTATTAAGTATAGAGTTGAGATCAATATTTATATAAAATTCTATGTGTTTCATTTATGGCCTCTCAGAGAATGTATTAGTATTATTGAAATTAAAACATTTAAAGCATTTACATTTAACCCTGCAAAGCAGAAATTCTTGAAGGAGAAGTGTTGTGGTTTGTGAAGTTGTTCATAATAGTGGAAATCCAAAAGTCTAGTGTTTTGAACATCAAGCAAATTAAAATGGTTTTTTTGAGAACTGAAGGTAGGAAGGGATTTGGAAAACCCAACTATTTCTTTTTTTTAGAGATAATTAAGATGAGATGGAGTTATTTTTCAAATAACCTCCTCTTTCTTCCTTGTTTACATTTATTAATAAATGAAAAAATATGTAACAAAAACCTGAAAAGAGAAAAACTTAATTGCATTTATTTTATATGGCATTCTTATTTCTCTAGTGTATTATTAATGTATTTATATATTTATGTATTTATGTATTTATTTTCAGGTGTACTAAGCAATGCAATAATTAGACATTTACACCCCTCATAAAGTGATAACCCACCCCTCAAGCTACTACTCCTCTGACATCTTATACAGCTGTTAAAATACCATTGACTCTATTCCCTATGTTGTACTCCACATCCCGTGACTATATATACCTATATATTTAGTTATAGTTGATATTCAGTATTATTATACTTCAGCTTCAGTGTATAATTTTTAATTCAATTGCTCACATGTGTCCTCTATAGTAACAATGAAGTACTAGATTCTATGAGTGATGCCTTTTGGTGAATTCGATGGTCACAACTGAAAAGAGCAGCTGCGTGGAGCCCTGTAACTAAGGGCAGACACGGGCTGTGGTGTTAACTAGACTGTAGACAACAGAACAGGAGGGCAGTATGTCTAGTGGAATGCCCACCATGCCAGCTCCTGTGTGCTTGTTTAGCTGTCAAAGGTCCATGTAAGAGGCAATTGTTTTATTTTCTACATACACTGACGCATAAATATGAATTTATTTAGGATATTTGAAGTGATGGACCTGTGCCAGTAATTCTAAAATTAAAGAGAACCATGTGCAGTTGTTAATGTTGCTCTTTAATTCCAGTTGAGATTATATACTTGTCTTTCTAAAATGTCTGCTTGAGACATTTTGTAGCACAATTTGGTATGAAATTTCTTCCGCTCAGTAGCAAATTCTATTAAAGTTTCAATGATGGATGTTTTTCAGACCTGAATATTTTTTTTCAAAGACCTGGATAACAATAAAAACTATCCTTAAAATAAGTCTATAATAAATGAAAAATTCCAGGTTATTCAGCCTCCAAAGTTAATGTTTTAAAATACCTGCTATATCCGGCTGGCCGGGTGGCTCAGCTGGTAAAGAGTTTGCTTAAGAGCTCTGAGCAACAAGGATGCTAGTTTGATTCCCACATGGGTCAGTGAGCTTTGGCCGAGCTCTGCCCGAGCTGAGCTGCACCTGGACTGAGCTGCACCCAAGCTGAGCCGCCGCTGAGCTGCCAACAAGTGGCAGGATGGCTCAGCTGGGGAGAGCACGTGCTCCTAATGACGAGATTGCCTGTTCGATGGTGGCTATGCCCATCCACAGCTGGGACTGAACTCAGCACCTTGAGCTGAGTTGCTGCCTGGATGGCTCAGTGGATAGAGCGTGCATTCTTAACAGCAAGGTTGCTGGTTCGACTCCCGCATGAAAGAAAGAAAAAGAAAAAGATAGGGATGCTCTCTCTATCACATCTAAAATACTTACTATATCAGTAGTCTTTTTTATTATGGTAAATACATATAACATAAAAGTTACTCTTTTCATAGTTTTTGAATGCATAGTTCAGTGGCATTAAGTACATTCCCGTTTTTGTGCAACCATCGACACCACCCACTTCCAGAACTTTTTCATCCTCCCAGGCTGAAACTCTGTACCTATGAAACGCTAAACCCTTATCACCCCTCATCAGTATTTAGTGTTGATATGAAGATTATTTGGTCTTAAAATAGTAAAGGCACATACTCTAGATGGGCCCTAAAAGACTGTTTGGTTAATCAAACTATAATCAAGCTATGAAGAAAACAAAGCTATGCTCTTCTTAAATGCAAAAATGTTGGGTCTAGGTAATTCTATAAGTAATATTTCACAAAGAAGTTGTAATAGCTTTTAGAAAACATTTAAAACCTCACATTTCATCCTTATGAATGATTAGCAAATAAACTTCTAATCATAATACAGAACTAATTTATATGGCTTTATTATTGAACTTTAGTTTGGGTACATTTAGAGTAGGCTTTCTCAACCCCAGTGCTATTGGAATTTTGGGCCTGATAATTTCTTGGTTGTGGGGGCTGTCCTGTGCATTCTAAGATGTTTAGCAGCATCCCTGGCTTCTACCCACTAGATGTCAGTAGAACCCTCCCAGTGGTGACAACCAAGACAACCAAAAATGTCTCTAGACATTGGCAAATAACCCTGGGGGGCAAAATTGCCCTTGGTTGAGGAGCACTAATCTAGATAATACTATTAAAAATATATATTTACTTTGGAATAATTTTAGGTTTCAGAAAAGTTACAAAGATAGTTTCCGTATACCTTTTACTCACCTTTTCACAATATTAACATCTCACATAATTTGATATAATGTAGTTGGTGAAAGCTAAGACATTAATATTATTATAATACTATTGACTAAAATATAGACTTTATTCATATATCACCAGTTTTCCCACTAATATCCTCTTTAAGGTTTAAGATATAATTCAAGATACCAGGCTGCATTTAGGATAATACTATTTTAAAAGGTGGTGTTTAAACAATGAGTAGTTGTCATAGATGTTGCTGGACATGGCAGGAATACTTCACATGGCTACCACTTTTGCAAGTTTACGACTTGTTCATGAGATTTCCCTGTTATGTCTAAAGCTCTTAAGTTTTTCAAAGTAAGGAAGTACTCCATAGTTTATTCATCCATTAGAACGTGCTCTTCTTTACAGCTTTATAGATCTATCCAACAGGTAGCTAGATTTATGATGCAAAAGTATATGTTACTGAATTCCATTGTAAAGAAACTGGCAGGAGGTGAAAATAGCAGGGTGTTGTAGATTATTCTCATTATAGTCAGGTACAGCCAAGACAATGACAGTCAAATTATGCTCTTGAAAGCTGAACCAAGGACTTTTCCTATCAAAATTGGAATGCTGGTTGATGTTTGATTGGTTTGTAGAAAACACAAAAAATGGAAAGGATTTTGTTAGTATAAGTACCCCCAGATATTTACTAACTGTTGAGAGGAGGCCACTTGGATGTTACAGGTAACAGGCGATTATAAATCTCCTGGGGTTACCAGAAAGTTCTCCATGTATAGGTCTAGTTATGTTGCTGTTTTCTGTGGCAGGCACAGTGGGCAAAATGCAGTTCACACGACAGTTTATAAACACCAATTTCTTGACGAAAGGGAGCCTGATCTACTGGCCATGAACGTTTGTTGGCTTAAACGCTGGCTTGACCAATTTGTTAACTGTGTGAACTAGCACCAATTTCCTAACTTCTCTGACCCTTACTTTCATCTCTCAAATGGGCACCTGTTAAGGAGGATTAAATATCACAATGCATAAAAAGTGCATGGCTAATAGTAAGTGCTCAAGAAATGGTAGCTACTATGACCAATGAACGTATTTGTAGGGTGCTCCTAGGAACACTTTATTTCTTGTAAAATGCTTTCCAGCTTTAATTTTTTACTGTACAAACTTGTGGTAGTTGAGCATATTACAGAGCCTGGTTCAACAATTCAAATAACATGTTGTTTACTACTAAGAAATTCTTCTAATGCTTGCATCTCCCTTCTCCTTTTCTTTTAGAAGCCCCTTTAACACAGGCAGTGCCTAAATGTCAGCATTGGGAGAAACTGCAGAATTCAAGATGTGTTTGTAAATTACCCTATGAATGTGGGTAAGCTCTATATTTGCTCATTTCTCTTTGTTTTATTTTATTCACGATCAATAACAAATGATTTCTTTTTTTTTTTTTAAAGATTTTTATTGGGGAATTGGGGGGATGGGAACAGTGCTGGGGAATTGGGGAAAGGGGAACAGACAAGTTGCTGTCGTTTTGTTCTTCAGTCTAGTTGTGGAGGACGTTGCTTCACTGGCCCAAGTTGGCACCATCATTGCGCTCTTCTCTGGCAAGGCAGATCAGTCGCCGGCTTCTGGACGGCCGCTCACTGCGGCTGCTGGCCGCTCACGCTGGCTGCTGGCCACACACGGTAGCCCATGGCAATGCACTGCCACAGGGACTGCAGCCCACGCCGTCGCCGGCGACTCATGGCAGCCCAGCTCCAGGTTGAGCTGTTGTTCAGCATCTTAGCTGTAGAGGGCAGTGTCACTGGCCCTCATATGTGGGATCCGAACCGGGGCCCTCTGGCATCCCAAGCGAGTTCTTAACCATCGCGCCACTCGGCCGGCCCAACAAATGATTTCTTAAACGCTAGCCTCTGTTACATCGAAGGTGTTGCTTACCAAGGGTTAAGGATCTTTGCATTTTAATCTGTCCCATCTGATGCCTGCTATTTGCCTGGGTCACCAGGGCTGACAATTTATGGCATTAGGTGGTACTCTAATCTGGCTAGAGAAAGGCTGAAGGACTACTTCAGCACCACTGGTTCTATATATAAAATGGTGAAAAAATGACAAAACTGCCACCTGAGGGTTTAGAGTTTGAGAGGATTAGGACTGAAATTCCCTGGAGACATAAACTCTTATAGCAATACCGATAGTGAAAAAACCAGCTGCTTTTCTGATTCTTGAAATGTCAGTTTCTAGATTGCATTGTAAGACTGCCATGCAACTTGAAATCACTCCATTGTAGGAGCATATCTGAAGTAGTTACTAGATGTATCATGGTCCTTGTCGGATACAGATGGCATGATTCGATTAGGACAGATGAGGTTTACAAGTGGGACTATTGACTGAAGTGGGAGAGTAACATGGCCAGCCACAGGGCAGTGCCCTGGCCAGATCACAGCTAGTGTATATTGTTCATGCCCAGGCCTGAAGGTTTTGATGAAAACCTGGAGAGAGAGAGGGAGGGAGATGTGAAGAGGGCAGCTGAGGAGGAGCTGAATCCCTCACTTTAGGGACCTCAGAGACCCCTCAGGATGAGCCAGGGGGAATAAACACCCCAGCTGCACTGTCTTCCCTCTTTCCAATCTCCTACCCATGCTCCCCATTGATCAAATGCACCGAAAGCTAGAAGACAAGGAAATCTATTGATGTGGTCCACACGTGTCAGCCTTCCAGGCAGGGTGGAGAAGAGTGGAGAGTGACGCTGGAGAGGCAAATGGGGGATAGCCAGGGCCCGGAGTTATTGGTTATCTTTAAGCATAAAAATCAGAGCACAAGTTTACTGGCCAATTACTTGACTTTCAATTATTGTTGTCATCAAAGTACATGCCCAACTCCATGAACACCTGCAGTATGTAATGATGATTGTGGTGGCATTTTATAGGAAGTAACACCTTGTGTGAAGAAGACAACTAACTAAATAGTGTAAATGGCAGTGATGGTCGGCCCGGAATATTCTGACTATGCTGTTATTTTCTATTAACCTTTGTTTATGTTGATTCACCTTTATCCTCTTTCGAACTTCCCCGGTTCATTTAGTTTGTCTGCAGCCTGCTGTTTATAGACCTGGTGTGAGTTTCCATATCAGATACTGATGCCAAGGTGGCCTTGTAAAGTCTCTGCCTTTTAAGCTGTTCTGAGTAGTCCTGTTTAAAGTTCAAATAAGCAGATAAAAAACACATATAACGGGCTGGCCGAGTGGTGAGATGGGTAAGAACTGGCTTGGGATGCCAGAGGGCCCCGGTTCGGATCCCACATATGAGGGCCAGTGACACTGCCCTCCACAGCTAAGATGCAGAACAAAAGGACAGCAACTTGTCTGTTCCCCTTCCCCTAATTCCCCAGCACTGTTCCCATCCCCCCAATTCCCCAATAAAAATCTTTAAAAAAACAACAAAAAAAACACATATAAGGATTTGTTTCCATTATGTAAAGAACTACAAGTAAAGTTAGCTCTTGGTCAGAGAAAAATATTAGAGCTAAATATATATATGTATGTGCATATATATATATATATATATGCACATACATATATATACACACATATATAACTCCATCTACTGTATAAAAATATTTTGTCTAAGGTTTCACTACAGTAATGCCTTCCTCATTCATCAGCATTCAGAAATGTGGTTGTTTTTATTAGCAACATTTCTAAAAAGCAGGATCTCACCATTTTAGCAGCAATCTTAAGAAACAAAAGTAGTAATTTTCATGGAAATATTTTCAAACTACTTTGTAGACATAAACACTAACAAATAGCATGGAAAAATAGTTTCATGTTTTCTTGAGGATTCAGTCATCACCTGTTGGATGGTGCCATCCTATGGACATGAACTCTCGGGGTTGCTGGGCTGGGAGAGCTAATTTCTCCTGCAGTCAACGGTCCCATCTGACTACAGTCTCTGAGTTTTTGACCTTTGCATATTTTCTGTCTCTTTCCTTGTCATCAGTCCACCAGCTCTCTCCAGCAGAGATTGCCTTCTCCTCCCATTTGCTGTATCTGATCTGTTCTAGATGAAATTAGATATCTAAGCTTGTAAAAATTATGAGCACATAAAGTGCAAAATATGTTCATTTTGAAGATCTGGGTGGATGGGCGCTTAGTAATGAAGGATTTACATTTCTGTTCTATCTTTTTGCTGCGGGTGATAACACAACTGAGCTCAGAGCCTGACCTTTCACTCCTCATCCGCAGCTATTAAGAATGAAAATCTTGTAAATAATGTAATTTTAAACATCTGTTTCAGATCCTCCTTGGGTGTATGTGCTCGGGATGAGAGAAGCAAAAGGATATTGCCTCTGACAGTTTGCAAGATGCATGTTCTCCACTGTCAGGGTAAAGCTTACACTCTGATGGGTAGTGAGAGCTGTACTCTGCCTGCCTCAGCTGAGAAAGCTTGCGGCCTGTGTCCATTGTGGGAAAAATGTGATGGTAAGGGGACATTTCATATGTGTAACTATACGAATGCTAAAGTAATAGCGCTGAGGTTTAAAACAATGCAGTTTTCTAGTTTAGCAGCAGATTCCTGAAAATGTGAAAGACTCAGGCTGGTCTGACAGTGAACGGCTCTCTCCACTGCCTTCCTCGGGAGCGGGTTGGGTCAAGTTTCTAGTGACCGAGCACCCATACCTGATGGTCTGCATGTCCCTCTGAAATCCGTGGTTCCCATTCCATCTTCATGATTTCAGCTCTGTCCTTGTATTATCCACATTATGTTCTCATTAAAAAAAATAGACTCATACAAAAATAACTATTTTAAAAAAGAAACTTCATATCACTTTCTTAAAAGGAAGTCTCTCGTGCTGTAACTATTGGGTAACTATCAAAATACATAGAATGAAACAAAATAAGGTTGTAGATTCTAGCTAGATGCTGCTGGGAGCTTGAGGGATGCTGTTTCTTTGGGATAAAGGGCATTTAGCAAGTGTTAGGAAGGTGTTAAAAGCATATCAGCACTGGGCCAATACTTTCTCCTAGAAGGAATCAGAGGATTTGAAGAGAATAGCAAGTTTCTTTCTTGAGTTGGGATTCAGTATTTGCTAGCGCTATGTCCAAGTAGCACTTACAATGATCTTAACTACCACCAGCATGGCCCATCTCCCGTGGTTTCAGGTATACCACCGAGGGGCAAGTTCTGAGTTACCAGACCCAGGTCACTGCCCTCAGTTTCCCCATTTGTCAATTTGGGAGCTGGACTCTGTGATCTGTAAGGTCTCTGCCAGCTCTTCAGGCCCTCCCCCTCTTGTCCTGTACCCACTGGGCACCTTTCCCCTCACTCCCATCATGGTTTGCAGCACAGACAATGACATTCGTAATTCTAGCCACTTCTGATTCACTTTGGGTTTGGCAGTCATCACAGTCAGCTGATGACCTTGTTATTTTCCTCCTGGGGATACCTGGCTGGTGTATTCAAGCCTTGAAACTTTGGAGCACACAGTGCTATCCTCTTGAACTCATTTCTGGTTTGTTTTTGTGGGATATGAAGCCTTTTGTGCTTCGTGCCCTCTCTCTCAAAGCAAGTTGAATTCTTTGGTTCTTTGTCTCTGTTTGACTATTGCTCTTTTGATCCTGCAGCTCTTTACTGAGATCTTGTCATCTGGTCTAGGGGTTGACAGGTCACACTCAGGCTCTGACTCACCTGAACAGCAGGGAGCAGAAAAGAGCTGGAGAGCTCTTGACTTGGGAGAACCTCCGGCCCCATGTGGTCCAACCAATAGGAGGGTTGGCGCCAGCCTTGAAATCTGCTCATTTTGAGTGGAACAAAATACCTCGCTTTCCTGGTCCTACTGCTTTTCCAGGGGGTAGTTGATTCCATTGCTCAAGGCGGGGGATTCTATGGCTCTCTAATCACCACATTGTGACTTTGGAGGTAATGTGCTTTTCATGTTCCCATTTCCACGATGTGCCATTAAGCCTCTCTTGCTTATTTTTCAAGCCCAGGGCAGCAAATGTGTCTGCAGAGAAGCATTGGAGTGCGCAGAAGAAGGGATTAGCATCTGTGTGGAAGTGAACGGCATGGAGCAGACGATGACGGAGTGTGAGGCTGGCACCCTGAGGTGCCGAGGGCAGAGCATCTCCATCACCAGCTTGAGGCCCTGCGAGGCGGGAGCCCCCTAGGCTCCTGGATGCCCATAGGCTTGCGCGAAATCCAGCAGCCCACTGTGTCTGAGTGAAAACACTCTCCTAACTCAGCACTTTAGACAACTTCTCCAGCACAGAGGCACATTCCTCTCCTTCCCCTCCCGGGTCCACTTCTCCCCTGAACTTCTGGCAACCTGCATAAACACGACCCTTTGTTCTCCCAAACCTGAATCCAGATGCTCTTTGTCTTCTTCTTTTCTTAAAATGTCAGTCAGAATGAAGAATATTCATGTAACCTCTGTATGAGCTAACTGTATGTTCTTGGAAAAATTGCTAACTTCTCTGGACCTTGACTTTCTAATCGGAAAATTAGAGGATTAGACTAGAGAAACTTGAATGCTCCATTCAGCCCTATGATTCTTTGAAGTATGATTGACTCCGCCCAGGAGCCAGAACACACTCTGCAAGTTGAGTAGGCAAACAGAAAGACTAGAAAGGTTGGCTTCCCTCAGTGAAACCGAATACAAAGGGACCCTTCAATGGACAAAGGCAGATACCAGTATTTTATCCCAAGTAATAGTCTCACGCTTCATCCCAGTGACTCAAGCACCTCATGTAGGGATTCCTAATCTTGTTGGGAGATTGAACCACCGAATTGTTAGAGCTGAATTCATCAGGCTGTAGTCATGGGTACTGTCTTCTTGCCTGAGAATGAATACAATGCAGTCTTCTCTGTGGGGCTTTTTTTAGTACGCATCCAACACAAGACCTGCAATTTGCCCCCCCATCCCCTTTCCTTTTTTTTTTTTTTTTTTAAGCTGAGCCATCCTGCCACCTGTTGGCAGCTCAGCGGCTGCTCAGCTCGGGCTGGACATCGAACCACTGTTGCTCAGAGCTCAAACTCTTGAGTGAGCTCTTAACCAACTGAGCCACTCGGCCGGCCGTCCCCTTTCCTTTTGTAGGAAGCATTGGTTCGTGCCTGAGCTATTGAATGATTTGTATTTGCAAGAACAGTTTTCTCTTATTGTGGATATATGCCTATATTTTTCAGGGGGCTGTAAAGGTAGATTGAATGGAAGCATTGGTTTTCTATTTATTCCTTATTCATTCTTCATCAAAATGAAAAAAAACCCAGCTGTGGGAGATGAAATGAGTGGGCTTAATGGAATTTAAAATATGCTTTTATATACAAATAATACCTCTGTATTTTTCTGATACTATAAATACATTTCAACAAAACTTTAGTTAAAATGACAATGATTAAAATACTCATTAAAGACACTATCCCTTGAAATTTTTTGATCTGTATTATGTTTAATTTTAAAGACTAGCTAATGTGTTCTTTTTAAATATATTTTTATTTTTTAAACTACTTTATTGAGGTATGATTGACATATAGAAAGCTATATATATGTAATATATAATACAACTTGATGAATTTGGGGATAAGTATACTCCCATCAAGGCCATAAACATACCATCACTTCGCAAAATTTCCTCCCACTCCCTAAGAAGAAAGATCTTTCTTCCTGGAAAATTTTGAGTATACATTACAGTACTGTTAGCTATAGGCACTATAGCTAGCACATAGCCAAAGCCACGCTGCATGGTGGATCTCTGGAACTTATTCATCTTACATAACTGAAACTTGGTACCCTTTAACCATCATCGCCCCAGTTAACCCTCTCCTTAGTCCCTGGCAACCACCATTCTAATCTCTGCTTCTAAGAGTTTGACTATTTCAGATTCCACATATAAGCAAGATCATGCAGTGTTTCTTTCTTTATCTGACTTATTTCACTCAGCATAATGTCTTCCAAGTCCATCCATATTGTCACAAACGGCAGAATTTCCTCCTTTCTTTAAAGCTGCATAGCATGCCATTGTATGTCTGTACCACATTTTCTTTATCCACTTATCTGTGGACACAGGTTGTCTCCTTATCTTGGCTATTGTGAATAATGCTGTAATGACCATGGGAGTGAAGATATCTCTTCAAGACCCTAATTCCAATTCCTTTGGATAAATATCCAGAAGTGGGGTTGCTGCTTCATATAGTAGTTTTACTTATATTTTTTCCATAATGACTGTACCAATGTGTTCTTGCCTGAAACCCAGGTCTGATCTGACCCAGGTCCAGCTTTACATACCAAATTGTCAATTGAGTGAAAATGCAGATATAATATGTGGAAGTTACAAGGAGGCAGGTTTAAGTTGACTGAAAACAATAATATTCAGAAATGTTTAATTGAGGCCAATTGCATTTGTTAGAGGTTATTATAGAGTTAATTTCTATCCTGGGTAGGGGGATAGATTTGAAAATGCCAGGCCCAGATACAGATCCCCAAACAAATAGCTGAACAGGTCATTTATTTGGGAGGAGATAAATCAGTATCCTTCTAAAAATTTCTCCCTTCATCTTAAACTATTATGGAGTTAGATGCCTACTCCTTGTGTACCATCACCCTCCTTTCCTAACTAATGCAGAGGATATTGTCAGCACTATCAAATGCTATAGGAGATAGAGGTCTGGAGAAAAGCAACCGGTACATTTAACAACTGAGGTTTGAAAAAAAAGCTTCATACAGTGAAGAAGTAAGGGATTGATGACTAGTTGGTGGAAAAGGAGGGGAGCAGTGAATGAGGTTGTAGAGAGATGCTGTCTTGAAATACTAAATTTTGTGTCTTTTTTTATTTGCTGAACATTCTTATATTTGACCTTTCTTCTAGTTTGACAGAGACATTCACAATTGTCTATAAGAGAATTAGGATTGATGCAGCAGGTCTGCAAGGAGAAAGTAACTTTCAACACAAAATCTTTGAAAAGGTCTGAAATTTATGAAATAAATTCTTGAATAGCAAGAAAGAGGGCTTTGAGGAAAGGTAGAAGAACTGCTTATGTCATGAAAATTGATTGCAAAGAGAATAGAGGGAGTGTGAGAATTTTCTTTCTCTCTGCCTGAAATCTGGTGAGGGTCACTTTGGCTAGGATGGGAAAGAACCTTGGAGGAGAAGGCATAAAATACTGAGATTAAAGCCATCTGGACCTAGAGGGGCACAGAAGGAGAGGAGGGGTTAGCTGCTGCATTAACCATTATTAGCTTCAGAAAAGGACATGGGAGTCAAGCCACATCCTAAAAACCATCACTCACAATTTGGGTGAACACTGCGAGTCACCTGGGCTGAAAAGCTGTTTTGGAAGCTACCCTAATTGCATTGGAGAGTGCTTTCCTGTGATGCTCCACACATTTCCTACTAATTGACCAACAGAAGTGCTGATGCAATACCCTGAGATTTAATGAGCCCCATCCAATGGCTCTACATGTAACTCCCCCACTCCCCACTAGTCCAGGGCATTTGTAATCCCCTTGAAACAATGGAAGGTTCTTGGTATTCAGGTGGGGTATGGTGGGGTTGAGGAGGGCAAGCTGGAGTGTCTGACAAATGACCCCTGGAACTCTGAGTTACCAAGCAACTAGCCAAGTAGCTGGCTAATGTAATTGAGGGCTCCCCTCTCTGCTGGGCAGGTCATGGCTAATCTCAACTTTGTGTGGGAATTGTGTTGTATTGTAAGGTAGCCACTCAGAGCTGTATGCGCTGGGCAGCTGGTCTACCCAGCATTTCCTGAAACAGCTTATTATGTGCCTGAACATAAATCATTAATCACTTTTCCTTTTGGTTAAGATAAGTATGTGTATTAACCAAAAAATTTGAACCCCACAGTTTATCATTTGTTTTATATATTTTTTTTCTTTAACTATCAGAGCTTCTTACACTCACAAGCTCACAAACACCATAACCCACCATAAGCATTTGGATTATTTGTAAGACAAACAAAATAGCTCTTGGAGGTGATTGTCATAAACTTAAAAATAAACTAAGATGCTATATACTTTGGGTACTAGATGAACTGAGTGTTCAAGTGTACCTACTACACTTTCTCTCTCTGAGGTAGGAGAGAGAGGAGGAAGAGAGGAAAGAGAAAAGAACAGAAATGAAAAGAAGAGGGGGAAAGAGAGAGAGAGGGAGGAAGGGAAGAAGGGAAGAAGGCAGAGAGAGAGAGAGAGAGAGAGAGAGAGAGAGAGAGAGAGAGAGAGAGAGAGAGAGAGAGAGATTCTTAGTATTGGATTAGCAGACCTGAGCAGCCACAGCCTACTACTGACTGGCCCAAGAATTTTGTCCCTTGATGAACTGGTTAAAGTGCATCAATACTTGTGCTAGAAATGGAATGCCCAATTTCTCTTTCAGAACACTGAGCCAGAAAGCAACCACAGTAGGAGGCAATTTCCATTAATATCTGATAAACCACAGGTATATGCATGCCTTTCAATTACCTTGGTCTTTCAGTCAGTTCACACATTTGAGACAAGAAAGCTGATGGCATGATAGGAGTCCCACAGTGACAACCAAAGCACTTACTTTTGTCTTTTTATTTATTCCTGTCAGGCAAAATTCCATTTGTCTTTTTATTTATTCCTGTCAGGCAAAATTCCAGATTTGCATTCAAAAACATCAACCACATAGGAAAAGTTGACCTTTTTAGCGAAGGGTTACCATGACCAGATGGAAGGACTGTTGTTGCTTCAGAAAAAATGGGCTGAAGGTGGTAACAAGGTGGGCAGAAGAAGAAAAACAATCAAATGTTCTTTTTGATTCACAGGCTGAGGTCAATTTCCTGTGAAAGGACAAACATAAAGAACTGCTCTGCCATCCCTTATTTCCATGCATTCCCTAGGAGAGGAGATCTGTACTCAACTCCAGGGGAGGGGCAGTAGGTATATAACAGATAAATGAGGTTCAAGGCTGAGAAGCACTGGCTGGAAGAGGAAAGCATATGTGATATTGAATGAGTGTCCATTATGTAGTAATCAGTTGGCCACATCAGCTGGGAACACAGAGAGGTCAAAGGAATTTGCTATAACAGTGAAATGGCAGTTTCTCATCAAAGCAAAGTATTACCTGACGTTCTCAAGAGAAAACGATTAACACAAAAGGCTCCAGATTGGTGTAATGTTAGACCACATGCAACCCAAGTGTGTGTCATGACAGTATTTAATAAAAGGCCCCTACTAAACGCTAAGTCCAGAAATTCCTCTCTGCACAGACACTGAGCACCAAGAGCAACTTGAGAAGTCAGGCATGATACAAAACTGTGGAGAAGCTCACTAATTGGATGATAGTGGTCCTGTAGGATTAAATACTTCGGTATGATGATAGGGAGCCTT